GATGACAGATGAGAGTGCGTAATAACTTCGTATAGCATACATTATAAGAAGTTATACGATGGAGTTATTGAATCCGTATTTAAAGGAGAATATGTGCTCATTTGGAGTTTGGTGCTTATCAATGTCAATGCCATCCAATGTAATAGCCACCAGCCACATGTGACTGTTGGTGTTAAATTTTAATTAAAGTGAAATAAATTTTAAAATTCAGTTCCTAAGTCACACTAGCCTCATTTCAAGTGCTCAATAGCCCCATGGGGCTACTGGGTACTGTATGCACAGCACAGAATAACATTTCTATCATCGCAGAAAGTTTTATCAGACAGCACAGATCTAACATAAATTTGCCTTTTGGCTCATTCTGTGATGTCAGATAAAGCTTCTGAAATTCCTGACAAGTTTCTAAAGCTGTGTTATGGAATTAATTATTGGAATTGTCTGAACTTCACCCAAAAAGGTGAAAAGCATCAGGTTGGAAATAGTTTGGTTGATTGTTACTTTCTGTCCAACCTAATACTGAGGCCCTAAGAAATTCCACAGTGAATTTCTGCAGGGACACACAGAGGAAAAGGCATAGGGGTAACTTAGAAAACCTAGGTCCTATAATAGTAATAATGGCGACCACTTACTGGATGTTACCTAATGACAGACACTGTGCTAAATGCACACTCATTTAATCCTCACAATACCTCTATTTTGCAGATGAAGCAGCTGAAGTTTAGAGGTGTAAGGTCGCACAGCTAGTAAGTAGGAAAGCCCGAATTTAACACCAGGTGTGTCTATTCCCTCGTGCTAAACAGCTCTGTGCCCTTTAGTTCTTCACTTTCCTCATCTGGAAATCTAAAATAATTAAATTAGAAAATCTCTAAATTGCCGTTTCTCAAACTCTATGTTTTAAGTTATAATACCACCTATATTCCCCAGCTAATGAAATATGCAGGGTTTGGAAGAGCAGCTTGCTACCTATTTTTACCCCAAAATATGCTTTCCCCTGTCCATGCCTCTGTCCTGAGACCTTCACTGGTTTCCCATTATCTAAAGTGGTTTCAACTATTTGATTATCACATGCCACATATAACCCTGAACCAGATGACGAACTCTTGTGGCAAGGAGTGATTCACTCCAGTAGGTAATCCTTAAAAACAAACTAGCACCACAAACTCCTGGTGCACAGTACATGCTCCATGGACATTTATGGAATTAAGCTGAAGTGGACTGCAAGGAAAATGTGAATCAACCGATGTGAAATATTATAGATACTACTCAGAAAACGGGGCTGTCAAGGAAAACTCTCAGTGGAGAAGACGGAGTCGGGAGCTGCAGACAAATTCTGACCGGCAGAAACCTGTAGTGGGACAACGTTAGGGACGATGGCGGTGACGTCCACACGAGGCGGACCACACGCCACCCGCCACCCTGGGAGAGGTTGACAACCCCACCCACCCAGGTACTGCCGCTGCCACCCCGCTCCAGGTCTCCTCTGCGTCTCCGCCCCGCCCCTCTCCTCTCCGGAGGCCCTGCTGCGGCTGCGCAGTGGCGCGCACGTAGGCGGAGCGGCGCGCGCCACGGTCAGCTGACTGCTTGGCTGGCACGTGACTTGCTCCGTGGGCGCTGGGTCGAGGAGACCGTGAGGCCTGAGCTTAGGTCGGGGAGGGATGGAGCGCTGAGCCGTTAACGTCTGCCAGGTTGTCTGCCTCCGCATACTTGTTACTGCTGCCACTTCCTCGTTTGACACCTTCCTGGGTCAGTGAGCGATGGCTGTCCCGGATGGGGAGTCCTGGCCTGGCCGAAGCGTGCGCTGCGGTCGCCGCCTGGGAGGGATGGGGGCAGGCGCGGGGGCCGTGGCCGTGGCGTGGGAATTGGAGCTGACCGGGTGGCTGTGTTTGCTTACTGGGCGCCGGTTCACTGCAACCCTGGGCCTAGGTTCCGTCTCTAAGGAAGAGCAAGGAGAGAAAAAGAGAAAGGGCCCTAGAGGGTACTGAATGGCAGAGTCAGGAAGGAGAGACACAGCAGGTCCTGGACTTTTCTTTTTGGGGGGTGGTCACAGCGAATCCACGCCGCCTGCTTGAGGGGGATGAAATGTGACAGAGTGGCCCAGGTGAGGATCTGGAGTGGTGTGTGTGAGGTCACAGCTAGCTCAAGAGCCTTTACTGGGTGTATGCTGTGTGTGTGAGTAGGGGCATAGCAGTTTAAAGGGCCCAGGATTCCCTCACTGCAGGCAGCGGATCCTCACAGAGGACGCAGGGTCCTGCTAGGCAGGGGGAAGTACAAAAATCCGGGGAACTCAAACCATTTTTTATTAGAATGGGGGAAGGGTAGGCAAAAAACAAAACAAAAAAACCCTGAAAGGGAACTTGGGGGCGGGGGGAGTCACATAAGGCAAATTGAATCATCTAAGAAACAGGAGTAAGGGGAAGCTGATATTCTTTTTAGAGGAAAAATCTGGTGTGTTAGGAAAAATCAAATATTTCAATGAGAGCTCAGTACTTAGCACTCCTGTGGGAGAGGAGAAGTGGGATGTAAACAGTTGAGCCTTAGGAGTTTGTGTCAGTTTTGGGGGGAAGAAGTCACACAACACATTTTTTTTTTTTTTTTTTAAAAGATGACCAGTAAGGGGATCTTAACCCTTGACTTGGTGTTGTCAGCACCGCACCCTCCCAAGTGAGCCATGGGCCGGCCCTGTAATGTCTTTACTGAAATGTGGTTAGTCACAGGGAGGAATCAACTACTCTTCATGTTTATTTCGTTCTCACAGGTCTTTCGAGGTGGTAGATGAAAATACTATATTCCTTGAATAGATAGTCACCTATCCAGACCCTTGGAACTAGAAAGGTGAAGTGATTTTTCTAAGTCTGGCATAACTTCCACGGTTTTCTGACTGCTGATGTATGTATTGTTCCTGCTGATTACCTACACATTACTTACCACAATCACATCTAGAGAGAAGGGTGATTTTTTTGAAGTGTGTTTTAATCTTTAATTCAGCACTTCTGGTAAACTTTTTCTAGTAGGAGTGCTTCAAGGGATTTGGCAGTGGTGGTCTATGCTTTTGAAACTGGTTCTCTATAAGCTTGGGTAAAGCTATTCAATTTACTGTTCAGCTGGAGGAGATAATGAGCAGCCAGGTGAACTGAAAGTGCTCAGGTTGTTGTCAATCACGGTTCTTTGGCAACGAACAAGTCTCAAATTGTGCTGAAGACTGAGCCTCAGGGTTGTGTCTCAGAACTCCCGGATCTTTTACTCTTGGTATACCTTGCAGGGACTAGATAAAATCTAAAGAAACCATACTTGGGATCTAACTAAATGCTGAGAGCTAGGTGGTTAGTGTAATTCTGCTTTTAAAACTGGGCAGGAAATACTCATTTTTAGTTTTTGGTATATTAGCCTTAGGAGCCTCATTGACATGAGATTTTACAAACTGAAAAATTTCGAGGCTTCAGAAATCTGATTCTGTGATTATTTCCACAACTTGTGAAATAATTCCATTGGCCAAAAAGCAAAATTGAAATGCCAAAATAAACCTTTGCAAAAGGGTCTCCTGGTAGTTCACCAGTCTCTAAGCACACACACGATTCTTTTGAACATGATCTTTCGAACATGATTCTGCTTAGGAGTAACTACAGTTTTGACTAAGTACCTCCTAGTTAAGTTTTGTTTTTGTACATATTCTCATCTATCTGCAAGATACATCTTTTTCACCTTTTGGATGTGGAATTCTATATCATTTTAGTTATACATTAATTCATGTTAGATTTCTATTTCATCAGTGTTTTTCAGACATAGTAGAAACTATTAGCATAGTGCCCTTGGAAAGAGCTCAGGCAGTGAGCCAGGGCAGTTTAAAATTTCCTATTGACAACTGATCCTTGGAACTGGAAATTTCAAACTATATTCTTGATAATGAAACAAAATTCTTTTCCAGTGGGAAATCTACTTGCAACATTATATCACTGTGCAAATGTGCTATACATATATTGAGTTCAAAAATGAGCCAGGTAGTCAGTAGAGGAGAGGTGATTTGATTACATCAGGGAGTGAAATGTGGAGCATTAGCTGTACAGTATATCTAAAATGAGGGGTGTGTGTGTGTGTGTGTGAATTTGAAAATAAAATGCCAGATAAATGCAAAAATGCATTTTTTTTTTTTCCTTTTTTGTCTTTTTTCGTGACCGGCAACGGATCGCAACCCTCAGTGTCACGCCCGTACCAGGCCGGGACCGGCCACGGGATCGCAACCCTCGGTGTTGCTCCCGCCTCTTGCTCAGCCAGTGAGCGGCCGGTCTGTATGTGGGATCCGAACCCTCGGCGGGAGCGCCACCGTGCTTCCCAAGTGGCGCACTATAGCAGTGCGCCACCGGGCCGGCCCCAAAAATGGTGTTTTATAGAAAGAAATTCATGTGTCTTCTAAGGTATTTTAAGCAGACTTCCGATGAATAAGAAGTTGTTTGTAAATTAAGCTGATTAACAGATGGATTAACTTTACCATGAAAGATTTTCTTTTTGAACCAGCCTGTGGTTTAGTGTTTCTGCATGAGTGTTATGGGCATTTTGGACAAGACTATCCTTTGTTTAGCCCCCATCCACTAAATGCTGATTAGTGACCCCCACTTTGGGACAACCCAAAAATACTCCTATACATTTCCAAACTTCTGGAGGAAACAGGTACCATTTGGTTGCAAAACATGCATGTGGTGCCATCATTTTTTTGTTGGACAAATATGGATGTTTGGGATACAGAGGTTAAGAGTAGTAGTTTAATAAATGAGCATATAATTGCATTCAAGTAATTAAAATTCAGTTTTTGATGTTTTAATGTAACTCCTTCAGTATAAAACTGCAGAAACTATTCTAATATTTCTTTGAGGAACTGGTCTGTTGCGAAAACTGTAGAAATAACTCAAAATAGGCTCCCCTTAGTCCAAGTGAAGTGTAGTAACTAACTCTGACCTTGGGCAAATAATTTCATTAACTGTTTCTTCATCTGTAAGTGGGGGTGGTGATAATATCTACTTTGAAGGAATTATGTACAAAGTTGCTTAGCATATCCAAGTGCTCATCCCTGGGCACAGCACATAGTGCACATTCAGTGAGTGGGTAGTCTTTACCTGTAAACGGAATCTCAAGCTTAATAGAGTCATGAATTGGAGAAAACTAACTTATTTTAAGTCTTTAACTTGAATTTCAGGCTACAATACATTGTTTTAGAAATATCAGCAGCTTCTAGCAGGTTTATAAATTACCAGTCCCAAAGAAAAGGGAAGTAACATGTTGGAAGCCTTGAGTGTAGATTGAGGGAATCCCCTGGCATGGAAGGAATTATTTGCTCCCTGGTCACCGCTGAGTTTCCTGTGCAGAGAGGGAGCCTCTGGGAGCCAGGAAGGTTCTGATGATTACTTTTAGTATTAGGTGTACTACAGTGCACTATTGGCCATGTCTGCCAGTTTAGCCAGTGTTACCAGAAATTACTAGAAAATTTACAGCATTGTATTATGTGTTGTTACCTCCCACCCATCCCAAACATGTTTTCAGTTTTTATGATAGACATCTGTGTGAAAGTAAGGCTTTGCATAAAAGCAACTTCTCACCAACTATGGAATTAAAAAGATGGTGGTTGCTTATAAAATATATCTATTAAAGATGAAATTGCCTTTCATATTTAAGTATATTTATGGTACAAAATTCAGGTAGTCTTTAATACGATTATAGAGCATTCGTAAGTATTGTTTCAGTTGAAAACAAAACATGCAAAAGTTAAGATTTATTTAATGAAGGTGTATGTTCTGACGGTTTTAAAATCTCATTACATGTGAATCACGGAAATATTTCTTGGAAGGTAAAATCCCCTCTTTAGTTATTGGAAACATTTAAACAAGTTATGAGTAAGTCCCTCCCAGAGTCCCAGTTAAGATGCTTCTGTTTTAAAGGATAGAATTTTTGTGTTCAAAGAGGAAACAGTTATCCTTTTAATTTGTATTGTGTTAATGATTTCTAGGGTAGGATGGGGCAATTTTTTTAAATGAATGGATTGTGGTAAATGTTTCATATTGATCAAATCTGTTAGAAGTTGATGTGCACATTTGGAAGGCAATGTGATATTTCACTGATATCTGAGGTATGCCTTCTTTTGCTTGTTGAAATAAGCCATTGAAATAGTAAACTTGGTATTTTCAAGAACTGAAAAGGCAGTTTTCATGCAGACCACCTTCCAGGCTTAATTTATTGTGAAATTTAATTTACTATGAAATGTGATTGCATTTGAGAGACTCCAGTATTGGTTTCTTGAAAGCATTAAAATCAGTTAAGTGTACTTACTGGAGTGCTGTACTGTTTTCTGTGGTTGCCCCTGTAAGGCTCATACCTTCCGTTCACAAAAGTAGTGCTAGCAGATCTGTTCAGGCTATCGCCCCCACCTTTTGTGTTGTCGTGATAGTTATTGCTTTATTGTTTTTATTTTACTTTCAAATCAATTGTGGTAAGAAAATAGTTCACACGGGGCTGGCCCGTGGCTCACTCGGGAGAGTGCGGTGCTGATAGCGCCAAGGCCCCGAGTTCGGATCCCATATAGGGATGGCCGGTTCGCTCACTGGCTGAACGTGGTGCTGACAACACCAAGTCAAGGGTTAAGATCCCCTTACCGGTCATCTTTAAAAAAAAAAAAAAAAAAAAAGAAAGAAAATAGTTCACAGCCTTTGAACTCCCAGAAGTGGGAGATAGAGTAAATAAACAGTGCCAGAACTTTGGAC